GAGAATGACTAGAAACTGAAGTCTGAGTGCTGGGTGTGCTTGTTGCTGCTAGGGTACCATCCCTCCCAGGCAATGGAGTATGCATACGTATCTATGAACGTTTCTACATGTAACCACCCGTATCTGTTAAGTTATACATGATGTCTCTGTCTTCCATCTACGGGGGCCATTCCAGCCTTATTCCCTTGCCATTTGTAACCTCTCTCTCCCAACACTGAAAAAACTGGCTCACACTGTCAGCCATCTATTTAATTGTTTCATTGTACACGTGCAGTCATTTCTGCATTGTTAACCATTCCCCTTGTAGGGACGATGAGAGTGCTTATATTTGGTTCCTTTGCCTTCAGGCTTACAGACCCCACTTGCTTCTGGAGTCACCTAGGGCACCCCTTCTCCTTCAGGGAGGCTGTTTTATGCATTGGTGATACACCCAAGTCTGTCCAAAGTCTGCATTGTGTCTTCTGGTCCTTTGACCTCTAGATGATATTTTTTTTACCTTGCATACATTAGGGTCACTTTTTGTGCCGTTGAGTTCTACTGGTTTTGACAAAGGTTTTGCATCATGTATCCTCACATAGTAGTTGAACTCCCTTGTAAATTCTCCTGTGCTTTGCCAATTCAAGCCCCTGCTCTGTTTGGTCACCTCTGTAGACCTGCCTTTTCCTGCATGTCGTCCGTGGATATATGCAGTAACGATGAGCACACCTGCTGAGTGCCATCTTTTCCACATATAGCACCATGTGCAGCTGGCCCTCAGGACTGGTCCAGGGCTCCACTCAGATGTCAACATCCACAGATGCTTGAATCCCATCCACAAAGTGGCATTGTACAGTCAGCCCTTCGCATCTGTGGGCCTATTTTTAACTTTTTAAATTTTCATTATTTTTCCTGTTTAGGCATCAGTCATGAGTGATAATGAGAGTCACCCTTGCCCTGCAAGTGTTCCTGTATCACATAAGCATCATTTGGCCATATCTGTGGATTTAAATCCATGAGTGAGCTGGGCTCGGTGGCTCAGCCTGTAATCCCACACCTTTGGGCGGCTGAGGTGAGTGGATTGCCTGAGCCCGCAGGTTCGAGACCCGCCTGGGCAACTTGGCAAGACCTCATCTCTACAATAAATTTAAAAAAAAAACAACTAGGCATGGTAGTGTATGCCTGTAGTTCCAGCTACTCGGAAGGCTGAGGCAGAAGGATCGCCGGAGCCCAGCAGGTCGAGGCTGCGGTGGCCAGGAGCATGCCACTGCCCTCCAGCCTGGGCAACAGAGTGAAACTCTAACTCAAAAATAAATAAATAAATAAATCCATGGGGGGGTTGAATCGTTGGATATGAAACCCATGGACACAAAGGGCTGACTTATAGTGTAGCTATTCCCACAGTCCTTTTCTGTCCCATTAATCTCTAACATTCTTGTACCATGTTGTCATACAAATGTGGCTTTATAATTCATCTTGATATCTGGAAGGGCAAATTTACCACTTTGTTCTTCTTTAAGGGTGTTTTAGATCATCTTGACCCTTTGTTTTCTCACATAAATTTTGGGTTCCCCTTATCAAATCCCACAAAATACTTTTTGAAATTTTGATTTATGTTGAATTGGTTAACGTTGTATTAATTAATTGACATCAAATTTTGATTGATGTTGAATTAAATAAATTCTGATATAACATCTAATCTGTAGAAACACTTGAGGCTGGGCACAGTGGCTCACGCCTGGAATCCCACACCTTTGGTAGGCCAAGTGAGAGGATCACTTGAGCCCAGGAGTTCAAGACCAGTCTGGGCAGCATGGTAAGACCCCACCTCTAAGAACAAAATTGGAGGAGACTTGATATGTTAACAATATTGAGTCTTTCAATCCATGAACACATGCATGTCTCTATTTATTTGGCTCTCCTCTGATACTTCTCTGAGAAGTGCTAGAGATTTCTCTACCTAAATTTCCTGTCTTTTGTTAATGTATCCATAGGCAACTGATCTATTTTAAAACTTATTTTAAGCCAGTAGAAAAATAGACAGAAGAGTATATTGAACTCCCACACACCCATACCAGGGTCAGTATCACCAGCTTGTGCCAGTCTTATCCATGTCTCTACTAACTTCTCCTTCTTGTTGTTTTGAGGCAAATATAAGAGTTACTACTTCATCTGTATATCTTTCAGTATGCATTTCTAAAGAACAGGACGACTGGGCATGGTGGCTTATGCCTGTAATCCCAGCACTTTGTGAGCCGAGGCGGGTGGATCACTTGAGGCTAGGAGTTCAAGACCAGCTTGGGCAACAAAGTGAGACCCTGCCTCTACAAAACATCAAAACAATTAGCTGGGCATGGTGATAAGTGCCTGTAGTCCCAGCTATTTGGGAGGCTTGGACAGGAAGATGGTCTGATCCCAGCAGGTCGAGGCTGTGGTAGCCATGAATGCACCACTACCCTCCAGCCTGGACAACAGAGTGAGACCCTGATTCAAAAAAAAATAATAGGACTTAGAAATACATTTATGACACCTAACATGAATAATAATTTCCTAAGATTAAACATCTAGTCAGTATTTAAATTTCCTCTTGTCTTGTGTCTTATGTTTGTTTTTCAGTTTGCCTGTTTGGATCAGGATTCAAAAAAGACCCATCCATTGTGAATGGTTCATATGTCTGTGAAGACTCTTTTTAAAAAATTATTATTATTTTATTTAAGATGTGGAGTACCATTCAGGGTTAGGTATACAGGCATTGATTATGTAGGTACCCTTGTTGATGAGGTATGCCCCTCCTTCCCCTAACAGTTTCCCTCAACTGCCAATCCCACTTCCCCTCCCTTGACAGTTTCTCATTACTGCTAAACACTTTCTTACAGCATTATAATTGTTCAAGGTCCGCTTATGAGTGAGAACATATGGTCCTCTGTTCTTTGTTTCTGTGATAGATCACTGAGTAGGATAGACTCTAAAATCATCCAAGTTGCTGTGAAGTCCATATGTTTGTCCTTCTTTATGGCTGCATAATATTCCATTGTGTATATGTACCACATTTTCTTTATTCTGTCCAGCTTCATTGGGCAACATGGTTGGTTCCTTGTTTTTGCTATTGTGAACAGAGGTGCAACAGATATGTGTGTGCAGGTATCTTTTTTGTAGAATGATCTGAGTTCCTCCAGGTAGGGGAATTGCTGGCTCATATGGAAGGTCAATTTCTAGTTCTTTCAGAAATTGCCACACTGTTGTGAAGTCTCTTTTTACCCACAGCTTCCACTTTCTCCTCTTTCCAATTTGCTCTTGATGAAACAGGCCATTTGTCCTGTAGGGTTTCCCACAGAGAAGATTTTGCAGGCTGCCTTCTGGTAGTGTCATGTAACATGCTCCACCCTCATGTGAGGTAACTGACATTTTTTGATGCTACTGTAAATAGCATCTTTCTTAAAATTTCATTTTTTGGTATTGCCCTATTTTGAAATACATTTGATTTTCATGTCCGTGTCTTGGTAATACTTAGTCAATTATTGAATTTGTAGATTCTTTTGCATTTTCTGTACATGCAGTTATATCATCCGTCAATAATGATAACTGTTTCTTCCTTTTTGGTGCTGTGACACTGTTTTTACTGTTCTTGCTAGGACAATTGGTGCATGTTGAACAGAAATGGAATTTTTGCCTTCCTGATTTCAGGGGAAAAAGCTTTTAACTTTTTATCTCATATTGTGACATTGCTATAGTTTTCTGAAATCTGCCTCTTATCAGCTGAAGATCTCATCTAGACTTAAATTGCTAAGAGGTGTTTTTTAAATGATAAATGTAGAATTTTATTAGCTGCATTTTCTTCATCTATTGAGATGACCATATGATGTTTCTCCTTTATTCTGTTAATGTGACAGGTTAATTTATTTTTCTAATTATAAACCAGTCATACATTCCTGGTATAAAAACAACTGGGTGCCAGGCTCGGTGGCTCAGCCTGTAATCCCGCGTCTTTGGGAGGCTGAGGTGAGTGGATTGCCTGAACCTGCGGGTTCGAGACCCGCCTGGGCAAATTGGCAAGACCTCATCTCTACAATAAATCAAAAAATGAGCCGGGTGTGGTAGCGCGCACCTATAGTTCCAGCTACTTGGAAGGCTGAGGCAGAAGGATCGCCAGAGCCCAGTATGTCGAGGTTGCGGTGGCCGGGAGCAGCCACTGCACTTCAGCCTGGGTGACAGAGTGAGACTCCAACTCAAAAAAAAAAAACAAAAAAAAACAACTGGGTGGCTGGGTGTAATGGCTCATGCCTGTAATCCCAGCATTTTGTTAAGCCAAGGTGAGAAGATCGCTTGAGCCCAGGAGTTTGAGACCAGATTGGGCAGCATAGCGAGACTTCATCTCTACAAAATATCAAAGAATTGGCTGCATGTGGTGGTGCATGCCTGTATTTCCAGCTACTCAGGAGGTAGAGGAGGGAGGATCACCTGAACCCATGAGGTGAGCCATAGACGACAGAGGGAGACTCCAACTTAAAATATAAAAATTAAAATTAAAAAAAGGAAACCCAACTAGATAATAGGATGATCAGAGCCTGGAAGAGCTAACCATGGTAAGACTTGAGGATAAATCATTTTATTTGTACACAAAGTATCACAAAAAATTAGAAGAAAGGAAATGTTCCTCCGTTCGTTTTGTATTATTACCCAAACCTGTAAGGATGATACAAAGAATCGATCTGTTGATTCACATTATTATTGGAACAAAATATTAGTAAACTAAATTTGGCAGTACATCAAGGGCACTACATCTTATAATGGCTAACTGCGGGACGCGCTGACCTCTTTGCCCCTCCTTCCTTCCTCATTTACACTCGTGTTTGCTCCTGAGTACTTGTTTTTATATGCAGTTGCATTATCTGTTTATTTCTTTTTGTCTGTCTCCCCCTATGATTTTTCCAGAATGACATTTTAATGAAGAGAACCACTTGAATATTGTGTTGTTTAGATACGATGTATTTGGTAAAGTGCTGTTCTTTCTGTTCCAAATTAAGGGAAAACATGGCGGCTGTCTTTCTCTCACATTGAAAAGAACATTTTGAGCAACCATGGGAAAGATAAGACATGCTGTGAAAATAACAACCCGAAATGTTGCAGGTAAGGGCCGTATTTTAAGTGGCAGATTACCTGTGGTATGTGCAATTCTTTGTTGACTCCATGGCTCAGGCCTGAACAAGATTTGAACTGGGTTGGATCCTGGGGCCTGGGTTTACTTGGGAGAGTGTGAGTCTGAAACCAAGAAGGCCCGGTCCAGGAGACCTAGGAAGGGGCATGATGAGAAGACAAGGCTGGGAATGAGGGTCCTGATCCTGGGCCAGACAGGTGGGTGAGCAGGACAGAGCAAAAGGGTGTGAACACTAGCCATGACTACTTAATAAGTCTTACTATTCTGGTTGCTTAAAGGTAATTATATTAGTATCACGTGATGGAAAGGCCCAGGGATCACTCTTACTGGATACTGCTGCTTGCTTTGGGATGGTCTGGCTGCGTTGAAGGTTAGGGACTGACTGGCCACAGTTAAAACACTAAGAGGGTAATTCTTTTTCTTGGTAGCATGCACACCATGGAGAGCTGAGGTTGAAAAGGAATTGTTCATCTGAGTTTCTAAAGTGGACCAGTAAAAGATGACAAAAGCTTAAAAGTCAAAACAAGAATGCTCAACATGTAGGCACAGAGGTTCTGAAAGACTTCATGTGCGGACTTTGAGGCAAGCATTAGGAAAAATATACTTCAATAAGGCTAAATAATCTTATAAACATTAAATTTTGTCAACTACTGAATAACTGGATGAAAAATGTAAATTATATAGTACAATCGGGATAAAAATAGTAAAAATGAATAATGTAAATATTTACACTCTAATAAAGTAAACTAATTTATAAAAATTAAAATATGATTTTTGTAGGTATTGAATAATGGGATAAATAATGTAAATATCTGTAGGACTTTTATAGTTGAAGCAATTGATAGAATAAAATATTTAAGCTAGGAATGGGAAAGAGGGAAGAAAATGTATTTTGTGCATATATTTGAGAACATAATCTTAGAGTAATTATAATTGTATTGTGTTATATAACTTTATTAAGTATGTTTTTCCTGTAAGATGCCTAAAGTGCTTTGTTGAGTGAGGCAGGTAAATAAATAAAAATGCATTTTTTTTTTATTCAACAGGAAAGATTGTTTAAAACTCATGAAATACCTTTTAGAACAGCTGAAGAAAAAGTTTGATAACCCCAAAGAACTGGATAAATTCTGTTCTTACCACGTGAAAACTGCCTTCTTTCATGTCTGTACCCGTTACCCTCAAGACCACCAGTGGGATCGCAGACAGCTGGAATGCTGCTTTGACAACTGTGTGTCCTACTTTCTTCAATGCCTCAGGACAGAAGAATTGCTGCATTATTTTGTTCCGGGAGTCAATCTATTCTCGCGTGACCAGATTTGCAAAACGCATAAAGAATTTCTGTCAAAAAAAATTGAATATGAAAGAAACAACAGATTTCCAGTTTTTGGTGAATCTTGGGATGGTGTTTTTAAAAAGAGTCAAGAATTAGAATGACTATAACAATTGGAATGCTTGAAATTTGTCAAGCAGTGATCGGCTAAAATGAATGTAAATATCCAGTTCCCTGTTTGGTGTATTGAACGCTAATCAATGTAAAGGATCGACTATCTGAGAAAAGAGATTAGTCAAGGAGTAAGAAACAAAAGGAGTATTTAAAATCTAAAAATGTTACCAGATTGAAATGAAAAAAAAAGGATAAAGTTCTTGAACACCAGTTCTCACCTAGCCCAGGTGTATGGAAGGTGGTGAGAGATAGTATTAGAAATGATAATTGCCTCCATAAAACTGATAGGCTTTGTTCAACATACAGATATATGTGGAAACAATGCCTTGTCCTATATATGATAGGTAGGAGGGAAAGAAAAAAAATAAGTCCCAGTTGAGTGCTCATGCCTGTGATCCCAGCACTTTGGGAGGCTGAGGTGGGAGAATTGCCTGGGCCCATGGGTTCAAGAACAGCCTGGGCAACATGGTGAGACCTTTTCTTTTT